GGTGCTCTGGTCAGATGAAACCAAAATCGAACTTTTTGGCCACAATGCAAAACGATATGTTTGGCGTAAAAGCAACACAACTCATCACCCTGAACACACCATCCCCACTGTCAAAAATGGTGGTGGCAGCATCATGCTTTGGGCCTGCTTTTCTTCAGCAGGGACAGGGAAGATGGCTAAAATTTATGGGAAGATGGATGGAGCCAAATACAGGACCATTCTGGAAGAAAACCTGTTGGAGTCTGCAAAAGACCTGAGACTGGGACGGAGATTTATCTTCCAACAGGACAATGATCCAAAACATAAAGCCAAATCTACAATGGAATGGTTCACAAATAGACGTATCCAGGTGTTAGAATGGCCAAGTCAAAGTCCAGACCTGAATCCAATCGAGAATCTGTGGAAAGAGCTGAAGACTGCTGTTCACAAACGCTCTCCATCCAACCTCACTGAGCTCGAGCTGTTTTGCAAGGAAGAATGGGAAAGAATTCCAGTCTCTCGATGTGCAAAACTGATAGAGACATACCCCAAGCGACTTGCAGCTGTAATTGCAGCAAAAGGTGGCGCTACAAAGTATTAGCGCAAGGGGGCCAAATAATATTGCACGCCCCACTTTTCAGTTTTTTATTTGTTAAAAAAGTTTAAATTATCCAATAAATTTCGTTCCACTTCACGATTGTGTCCCACTTGTTGTTGATTCTAGACAAAAAATTTAATTTTTATATCTTTATGTTTGAAGCCTGAAATATGGCAAAATGTTGAAAGGTTCAAGGGGGCCGAATACTTTCGCAAGGCACTGTATATGCATATGTATGTATTTTTTTTTTAACTTTTTATATTTAATCTTTTTTTATGGATTTTATTCCTATAATGTTTTATTGTTTGCCAATGTTCTTTCTGTGCCAGTTAGGCACTCTGAGTTGCTTCTGTATGAATGGTGCTTTATAATTGATTTTACATTTGCCTTTGATACTTTGATTCGATCAATCCAAAACTTATTGGTAAAGAATGGAACGTTCCCACATTAGGGTTGAGGCAGAACACCATCAGGGGAACAGGACAGTACCAACAGGAACATTAATATAGCCAAATAAAACCAGTTATGAATAAATCAACATGTACAAAGCAACTCATAATTTGGCTCCCGCTCCACTAATAAGTCTAATAAGTCAAAGGAACAGAAGTGAGCGGCTCACTGGAGGCTCTGTAAGAGGCAGCCGTGTGATCCCTCTGCGTAAGAGCACCTGCCCTCACTGATGTACTATATCAATCAATCAATCAAACTTTATTAATAAAGCGCTTTTCATACAATAAAATGCAAAACAAAGTGCTTTACAGCTGAGTCAAAATCAATACAACATGCCCAATAAACCCCGAAGACCCACCCATAAACCACCCTAATTATTATATATACATCGAGATGCATACGTACACACGCACACACGCACACACACACAAAGACATATAAAATCACATCAGACAGGTAAAATAGGTAAAACTATGAAAAGATATAGGGCTGGGTGCAGATGTATTCAGCTGAAGATGCGCCATCCAGGGAGCCATCTGCACCAGGAGCAGAGAGCCGCTTGCAACAGGGGACAACACAGGACCCAGAGGAGAGAGGAGGCCCCAGACCCCCCACCAGGCCCCCATAGGACCCGGAGGAGAGAGGAGGCCCCAGGCCCGAGAAAACACTGGGGATACTAAAACCATACAATAAAGAGTAAAACAGCTACCTGAAATTAACAATAATAAGAGTAAAACAGCTACCTAATATTAAGTGACAAAACAGAATACGTAAGATTAAATAAATAAAAAAGAACCAAAATAAGATCCGTCTAAAACATAATAAATACTAATCAAAAGCTAAAGCTATGCTTAAGTCTTTTAAATAGTGTGTTCTTGAGTGAATGTTGTCTGTAAATGTATTTTAATGGCTTTTTAACATCACGGCCAGGGGACTACAGATAAAAAATTGCCTCCTTGGCTAATTCTGTTTTTTTTAACTCATGTTTAATCGTGTGTTTTATTACATTGCATTGTCCCTTTTGAAATAAACTAAACTGAAACTGACACTGAACTGACACTTGCTCACTCTCAAAGACACATCCTCTAGGTTTCCCCCATCACTAAAAACATGCACCATAGGGACTGTATGCATGTAATGAGAGAGAGAATGGATGGTGTTGGTCGGGGGCTTCGATGCTCCAGTGTATTCAGCGTCCTCCGTTATCACCGTGTGTGGAGAGAATGGAAAAATATCTGAACTCTGAACATTGTAAAATGCTTTGGGTGACCTTGATCTGTAAAAAAGAGCTATTATAAATAAAGATTACTTACTTACTTAGTACCCCATACTAGCAGAGTGCAGAAAGGCCAAAAATGTTGATATTTTTCATGAATTTGAAAAACCTATTCTATTTGTTAGTGTCCACATTTTCCTGCGCATGTCTCAGACGTCCACGACATTGAGAAAAAAAGTCAGATAGTCGTGAAGGCACATAAATCATTGCAAACTACGAAAAATGGGAATTACATTTTAATTGCATGTACAGTTTAGTGTTACTTTCTAGTGATTGATATAAAGTTAAAGCAATTTGATGGACAAAATAACAACTTTCAACAATAAATATATTTTTTTTAATTTCCTTGTTATAGCAGTAAGCCCAAATTCTATATTTCTCTGTAAAAGCTCTGTGTTACAAGTGATCATGTAGGAGTTAATTACTATAATGTATTAAAGACTGCCTCTAAAAAGGTTTAATAGTTGTCAGAGGTGGGACAAAGTCATTGTTTAGCAAGTCACAAGTCAGTCTCAATTCATTGCCCTCAAGTCCCGAGTCAAGTCACGAGTCAAGACAGGCAAGTCCCGAGTCGAGTCCAAGTCAAAGGCCAACAAATCTCAAGTCAGTCCCAAGTCCTACGGTTTGACTTTCGAGTCCTCTCGAGTCTTTTTGACTGCGATTTGTTTCTTGTTGGTCTCCACGTACTTTTGTAGGCAAACAAAATAATGTTAGGAATCATTTTGCTGGTGCATTCTCGTTGGTCTCTGACCCATGGACTAACAGTTTGTTCCATGTCGTTGGCTGCTGGTAAATCAAAACTATCTACGTGATCTAATTGGATGTTGTGCCAGATGCAGGCTCAGTTACACATGCACAGACCACACATAAAATCAGAGCAGTCCGTGTCAACATACTTTTTATCTTTGGGGTTTTTAATGGGAAGTAGCAAGTGCAACATATATGAATATGAGTATTGGGCTAGGACCTGTATCTATCAGTTTAATGTCCGTAGTGGTTATTGTTCCAAATGTCCTACTGTAGGATAGGGGTAGTATGAGGGGTCCAGGCTTTGGACCTGGGGCAGCTCGCCATCAAAAAAAAAAAAAGGGGGGGGGGGGGGGGGGGGGGGGCAAAGGACTGAAGGGACCAATGGAGTGGAAGGAACCTGGCCTGTATGAACTGGACCAGCATTAGTAATATCTCATAATTACCAATATATCATTACATATTAAAATGTCTCATATAAATTAATTCAATCAGTCAAAGCACTGATTCTCATATCAATGCACCATAAACAATAGTGCAAATATTAATCTAGCTTAGTGCACATAATCAAAACAACTATCTAATGTATGCAAACTTTAGCAGGAGGAGCACAGCAAAAACATACTCATAATAATAGGTCTCGGCGCCCACACAGAAAAATATAAGAAAGAGCTAACAGAGCAGCGCAGGCTAGCGCTAGTTTGACTCACCAGTTCCTCTTTAAAACACGGCACACAGTGTGACAACTGCGTCGATTCAATTGTATGAGGCGCCTGTAGTGAAAGCATATCAATTACGGTTTGTAGAACAAAATATGACGTTAGGTCGCGATAAATACCTGCAGCTCGCTCATTTCCAGCTTCCCTAGACAACACACCCACCGGTGAATGCAGTCCGCTTGTTTAGGGAAGTGTTGCTGCGCGAACTGCGGGGAACTCACGTTCGAACTCTCTCGCGAGCGCTACAACTACCGCGAGGCTTTGTTTCTTCAGAGACGGCATAGATAGAAAGAGAGATGCGGAGAAAGGTAAAAATGGCCCGGGTTACGCAAGTCTTTACAAGTCAATTGGTGCAAGTCCAAGTGAAAGTCAGAGTCATTGATGTTAAAGTCCAAGTCGAGTCGCAAGTCTTTTTATATTTGGTCAAGTCGAGTCTAAAGTCATCAAAATCATGACTCGAGTCTGACTCGAGTCCAAGTCACATGACTCGAGTCCACACCTCTGATAGTTGTTCTGCATAGTTTAGTTTCTGCACGTAATATTGAGGTGCACCACTAGGGGCGCGCTAGCGTGTCAACAAAGGGCAGCAGCACGGCTCAGATGTAGCTATAGCATCGGCTCTGCCACGGACTTTGGGTTTTGTGTTTGCTGTGTGCGTCCATAAACGTGAGTACCCTTGTGTGCATCATATTGTAGTAATGTTTTCTACCTTAAGTTGTAGTTTCACCGTGTTTTGTGCAGTTTTAAGTTGTGTCCCTTTGCATGTTAAACCTACTAAGCGCCTCGTGGTATCAATTAAGGCTTGTTATATATATATATTGACGTAGAACACACTTAGTACTGCTATCATTCAGTTTATATAATTTCCTAATTACATCCTGGATATTAAAGTTTGATTGCATTATTTAGTTCTTAGTTTAAGAGGTAATTCTTGCCTGTATACTGAACAGACTTGTAATATATTTTGTATTCTTTTCTGTGTGTCTTGTAGGAAACCACACACACACACATGCGCATACCCACAAGCAAGATTGAAGTCTAAATTAAAGGCACTGTTCTAATCATCTGGCTGTGGACATTCTCACCTCTCTCTCTCCACTCACCTGAACATATAAATTCAAGTCCTAAACCGACCCCTGTGTTGATTGTGACCTAGCATAAAAACCAGCATACAGTCCTTCCTACAATTTTGGTCCTCCTTCACCGGATCTACGCAACCACTGCAGTCAATATGTTCAGGCCATATGAGCGAGAATCCAGAGAGGTGGACCGCCCACAGAGAAGCAGGAAGCCGCCAGAATATCTACGGGACTACGAGGTCAGTTACCCTGAGAGGTACCACGTACCCTATGATGACCAGACTAAGCGGCTGTCTTCTCCAGAGATTATCAGGTCCATTCATAACATGAGAGAGGAAAATCAGAAGCTGTCTAGAGATGTCCAACGCCTTGTAGACATGATCCAAAGTGCTCCTGCAGCATCCTCACACCCCCAGTCACTGCCTGAGCGCCAGAAGGAAACCTCTACACCAGCACCCACCAGTAAGCAGACGGCAGCAAGTGGTTTCCGGGACCCACGTCCGCCTACTCTAAGTGCCCTACCAGGGATCAGAGAAGTTTCTCCTACTCGACCAGGCAACGGGAATGACATAGTGGAGAACCTCAGAAGACGCTTGCAGGAGTCGGGATTAAAGGATGAAGAAGATGAACAAGATGATGAAGTGATTCAAGCGCATTCACCCACGCCAGATCAGTCACGTCGCCATGTGACAGAGGCTCCCCATTACCCATTGGAGAGAGCTACACGTTCGGTGATAGCCCCCCTCACCGTAAAACTGATTGGGCTGATGTCAAGCCACGGTACAAAGAGGAGGACTACGATCGCTATGATGGCCGCGCCTATCACCGTGACGACAAGTACCGCACTTCTCCACCTCGCCCAAGTTACCCACAGTACAGTCGTGCGTACAGTTATCCTGCTCCATCCTACCGGCCCAGTAGTCCCAGAGCTCGTCCGGACAGCCGCTACTATGGGTATGAGAGGGGTTACTCACCAGGTTAGCGAGACCGACCAGATGACTATTACAGTTCTGGATATGGACGTGAAAGGAGATCAAGGGAAGGTAGATACTCACCTGATCCACCACCTCGATCACCACACCGCTCAGGGTCCTATCGCGGACCCAAGCCGACTATCCCAGACTTTAAGACAGAGGATCCACGTGAGTTTGCAAGACTGAAACTGGCCCTGGACAACCTACTCTCGTATGATGCTTCGGAGCACTTTAAGTTTCAAATACTCACAGATCATCTCAAATGTGAGGAGGCACTACTTATCGCTGACTCCTACAGCAACAGTCCGTACCCATTCACGGATACCATGAGAGCACTCAACGAGATGTATGGCCAACCTCAGCAGCTAGCTCTGAAGAGGATTTCCAATCTGATGGATGGGCCCAACATAAGGATTGGAGACATTAGAGCATTCAAGTCATTTGCTCTTCAAGTTCGTGCACTAGTTGGGATGCTACACCAGCTAGGAAGGGAAGGTTACGCAGAGCTGAGATGCGGCTCACATGTCTCTCGCCTCTTAGCTAAGTTGCCACACGACCTAAGAGCCAACTTCCACCGATATGTGAATCCCATCAACACTCCTATTCCCACACTTCTCGACCTGGCTGACTGGCTTGAATATGAGGTGAGAATTCAAGTCAGCGGTGACCAGCACAGCAGTTACTCTCCCAGAGAGAGACAAGCTCCATCTAAGAATCGACGTCCCGACTACAAGTCACAGAGGTCCACCACCATTCTCCTCGGCAGTGAGTCTGTAGAGTCAAATGAGAAAATGGCTAGTGCTCCAGTTCCTGCCAAAGAGGGAACAAATGAAAAGCCCAAGAAATACTGTCCGTTCTGCGATTCAGTGCAACACTACATGAACCAGTGCAGCAACTTCAAACTCATGTCAATGGATCAGAAGACACAGTGGATTAAAACGCATAACAGATGCTGGAGATGTGGACGTGAGCACCAGGCAGCTAAATGCAATCTTAAAGCTAAGTGCAAACAGTGCGAGAGGAAGCACCTGGACGTCCTCCATGAGGTGAACACCAGCCAAAGCGCCACAGCAACTGCTAACACCAAAGCACCAGAAGCAAGCACCTGCCTTGTGAGCTCAGTGTCAGAGACCCTGTACCTTGATCGTCCAGCCAGTAGCCGCCAAGTTTTACTCAAGTTGAGCCGAGTCATCCTCCATAGCGGCAATAAGGTACTAGAGACCTACGCAATATTGGATGACGGGTCGGAGCGCACAATACTACTGAATGATGCTGCTGTCAGCTTGGGCATTCATGGGAAACCTGAGGACCTCACACTCCGCACAGTCCGGCAGGAAGTCTGCACCATCCACGGAGCCACCGTGTCCTTCTCTGTAGCCCCTGCTTCAGAACCAGGGAAGGTTTTCAAGATCGACAAAGCCTTCACTGCCAGAGAGCTAAACCTCGCTTGCCACACCTATCCAGTCCAAGCTCTGCAGGAGAAATACCGCCACCTGAGAGACATTCCACTGTCGACTATCAAGGATGCCCAGCCACTACTGCTGATTGGGTCAGATTATCCGCATTTGATAACACCAGTTGAGCCCGTACGTCTCGGCACCCCCAGGTGACCTGCAGCAGTACACACCAGACTTGGATGGACTTTGCAAGGCCCCACAAGTCTCTTATACCACCAACTGTCCCCACAGCAATGCCTCTTCACCAAGTGCAGCCCTCCCGAATCTGAGCTCCTCACCAATGTTGAGAAACTTTGGCAGATAGATATCTTGCCATACAGAAGTGAGCGGTTCATTACCAGGTCGAAGCAAGATGTAGAGGCAGTCCGTATGCTGGAGGAGAAGACCACACGACTCCTGGTGGCAGGTGTGAACAGGTATGCTACTCCACTACTTTGGAAGCAGAATCTCCCCCCACTCCAAGCATCCAATGTAGCAGTTATGCCTCAGTTGCGTGGCACAGAGAGACGACTTGTGAGAGACCCTGAGAAAGCTGCCGTTTACTCTAAGGAGATCCACAAGCTCATTGACGCTGGCTACATCAAAGCTATCACCCCGGCCAAGGCTGAAGAGAGCAACTATTCATGGTTTATCCCCCACCACATTGTGCAGCACAATCAGAAATTCCAGATAGTTTTCAACTGCTCCTTCACGCTTGATGGACAGAGTCTGAATGACAACCTCCTTCCTGGACCTACGCTCGGAGCCAGCCTCCTGGGAGTCCTGCTCAGGTTCAGAGAACACCCAGTGGCCATCAGCAGTGATGTGAAAGGAATGTTTCACCAGGTGCGCCTGCTTGAGGAGGACAAACCCTTCCTTCGTTTCCTGTGGCGAGATGTCAAAGTGGACCAGGACCCGACAATCTTTGAGTGGCAAGTTCTCCCTTTTGGTACAACATGCAGCCCATGTTGTGCCACCTTCGCCCTGCAGACTCATGTTCAGAGACACACTGAACCAGAGGAGGATGCTCGCATGTCAGTAGAGCGCTGCTTCTACGTCGATAACTGTTTGCAGAGCCTTCAGTCAGAAGCACAGGCCAAACAGCTGGTGAATCGACTTCACACGCTACTGATGGAAGGTGGCTTTGAGCTTAGAGAATGGGCCAGCAATGTTCCTGCAGTCATTCAACATCTGCCAAAGGAATCCAGGTCAGAGAACAGCACACTCTGGTTCACACAGCAGACAGAAGACCCCCAAGAACGCACTCTTGGTCTCCTGTGGCAATGCAAGTCAGACACCCTGCGGTACAAGCAGCACACAAGTGAGTCCCCTGAACTAACCATGCGTAACATTTACCGCCTTCTTGCCCAACAGTACGATCCTTTAGGATACATTGTTCCTTACACAACCAGAGCTAAGATCATTGTACAGCGTCTGTGGGACAAGAAGCGAGGATGGGACGACCCTAATCTCCCTGAAGATCTTGTCCAGGCCTGGAGACGGTGGGAAGAGGAGCTTCCACTGTTATCACAAGTTGCATTACCCAGATGCTACACTGACCGTCACATGGACCACAGTAACAGTAGCCGGACCATACATGTCTTCACTGACGCATCTGAACGTGCCTATGGCTCCGTGGCATACCTGTGCACAGACAATGGGGAAGGACAAGTTCAAGTGGCATTCCTAGCTGCAAGGTCCAGAGTCGCACCAAAGAAACAGCTCTCCATACCCCGTCTTGAGCTCTGCGGAGCCCTAACAGGAGCACAGCTAGCTTCAGTCCTCACAAAAGAGCTCACAGTTAAGATCCAAACAGTGGTCTATTGGACTGATTCTACCACAGTCCTTAACTGGCTCCAGTCGGACTCCTGCAGATATAAAGTGTTTGTGGGCACAAGAGTTGCGGAGATTCAGGAGCTTACGGATGTTGAGGCCTGGCGCTACGTTGACTCCACCTCAAACCCTGCAGACGATATCACAAGAGGGAAAACACTAGCTCAGCTTGCTGGTGAGAGCAGATGGAGCCACGGACCCTCCTTTCTCCTACAGCCACCAGCTCAATGGCCAGAGAGTCCAACTAGTCCAGTTACAGAAGAAGTGGAAGAGCTAAGAAACACTGCGTTTTGTGGCTTAGCAACCAGCTCCCGAGATCCAGCTGTACCTGATTCCCAGCAGTTTACCACATTTCAAGAACTTCTGGAAGCTACCACTCAGAAGTTGCACGGGGCGGCCGATGGTACAACTCCTACTGCTGATGACTACCAAGAGGCAGAGCTGGCTCTCCTAAAACAAGCACAAACTGAAAGCTTCCCTGATGAAGTGGCTCTTCTCAAAGCCGGTAAGCCCCTTTCTTCTAGTAGTAGATTACTAACTTTGTCTCCTGAGTACGACAGGTCCTCCAAGCTGATCCGAGTTGGGGGAAGACTTAGAAGATGTGACACTCTGAGCCAGGACGTGCTGCATCCCATTCTCCTGTCCTCTTCCCATCCGGTCTCCAAGCTGCTGATTCAGCATTACGACAGCCAGCTGCACCACCCTGGAGCTGAACGCTTGTTTGCAGAGCTGCGCAGGAAGTACTGGATACTCAGAGGCCGAGAAGCAGTTAAGAATCACCAACGCAATTGTGTGGACTGCCAGAAATGGAGAGGCACGCCCCAAGTCCCGAGAATGGCGGATCTACCCCCCTGCCGGCTGAGACTTTACCAACCTGCCTTCTACTCTACAGGTGTGGACTGCTTCGGCCCCATGCTTGTTAAAGTGGGGCGCCGCACTGAGAAGAGATGGGGCATTCTGTACAAGTGCCTTACCACTCGAGCTATCCACTTGGATCTACTGCCCAACATGGACAGCGACTCGTTTCTGATGTCACTCAGGCGCTTCATCTCGCGCAGAGGCAAGCCCTATAAACTCCTCTCAGATCAGGGCACCAATTTCAAAGGAGGAAGTAAGGAGCTTCATGATGCCTTCCTTGCTTTGGAACCTGCAGTGAAAGAACAGCTTGCAGCTCAGCAGATCCGCTTTCGTTTTAATCCTCCCAACGCTCCCCATTTTGGAGGCTCGTGGGAACGTGAAGTGAGATCTGTGAAGACCGCACTCCGCACCACTCTGGGAGCTCAAACTGTGCCAGAGGAAGTCCTGATGACAGTCCTCATTGAAGTAGAGGGCATTCTCAACTCCCGACCCTTGGGTTATGTTTCGTCTGACCTCGCTGACCCTGACCCAGTCACGCCCAACTGCCTGTTGATGGGGCGGCCGGACTCTTCCCTTCCTCAGGTGGTTTACCCGGAGTCAGAGTTGCTGAGTCGTAAAAGGTGGCGGCACTCACAAGTTTTAGCCGACCACTTCTGGAAACATTTCATCCAGCACTTTCTGCCCACTCTACAAGTCCGGCAGAAATGGCAAACGGAGAAAGAAGACATCATCGTGGGAAGCGTTGTGCTCATCGTGGATCAGCAAACGCCCAGAGCCATGTGGCAGGTAGGGACAGTAAAAACTGTGATACCCGGAGCAGATGGCAGAGTGAGGACAGCGGTCGTACAAGTCAAGGACCGGACCTACACTCGCCCGGTGGTCCGTCTCATCAGGCTGCCAGCTTTGCCCCAGGATCATCCAGACACCTAGTAGTCAAATTTACAATGCAAATTTGGGGGCGGCTGTATTAAAGACTGCCTCTAAAAAGGTTTAATAGTTGTTCTGCATAGTTTAGTTTCTGCACGTAATATTGAGGTGCACCACTAGGGGCGCGCTAGCGTGTCAACAAAGGGCAGCAGCACGGCTCAGATGTAGCTATAGCATCGGCTCTGCCACGGACTTTGGGTTTGTGTGAACAATTGCTGTGTGCGTCCATAAACGTGAGTACCCTTGTGTGCATCATATTGTAGTAATGTTTTCTACCTTAAGTTGTAGTTTCACCGTGTTTTGTGCAGTTTTAAGTTGTGTCCCTTTGCATGTTAAACCTACTAAGCGCCTCGTGGTTTCAATTAAGGCTTGTTATATATATATATTGACGTAGAACACACTTAGTACTGCTATCATTCAGTTTATATAATTTCCTAATTACATCCTGGATATTAAAGTTTGATTGCATTATTTAGTTCTTAGTTTAAGAGGTAATTCTTGCCTGTATACTGAACAGACTTGTAATATATTTTGAATTCTTTTCTGTGTGTCTTGTAGGAAACCACACACACACACACACACATGCGCATACCCACAAGCAAGATTGAAGTCTAAATTAAAGGCACTGTTCTAATCATCTGGCTGTGGACATTCTCACCTCTCTCTCTCCACTCACCTGAACATATAAATTCAAGTCCTAAACCGACCCCTGTGTTGATTGTGACCTAGCATAAAAACCAGCATACAGTCCTTCCTACATATAAAATAGAATTAAATGGTGAAACAAGTATACGAAGGGTCAAATAGCTATTTGTCTGTAACTCCCTGTGCTACCATCAGGGGTGGTACATGTCAGTTGTGGCTTGCAAAAGTACGGATAATTTTTTTTGATGTGATAACATATACATAAAGAATACACATAACAATTGATCATATAGCAGTTAATTACTACCCATTAGATTATGATTACCTGTTTTATGCAAACAAAGGCAAGATGAGACGCATTGTAATCAACAGCAAAACAATGCATTTACCTTTTGAAATGATTGTTTGCATGAAAAAATTGTCAATTTACATTCATGAAATTATTCTTGCCTTTTGTTTTTGTTGAAGGTAACTCGAGAAAGAAAGAAGGAAAGAAATAAAAGGAAGAAAAT